TTTGGCAATCGTTCTAAAAGGTTTATCTGCTTAAAACTCTTAAGTGCTGCCCCTTACCTGTAGGAGAAACCCAAGCTGCCCGCTAGTTCACGGTCTGACTCTTGCTCATGCGTCCAGCCATCTGCTGTCTCGCTGCCCCGGCCCCTTGCTAAGGCCGCATCGATTCTTTGCTCTCCCCTGCCTTGGCCACATCCTCACACCTCTGTCCTCCCCTGTGCTGGGTCCTGGGTCCTGCTCACCGGCTGCCTGGTGGCACCTGCACACCCTTTGGGTGCCTTTATGATGCATGCGCATGTTGGAAGTCTGTGGAGGGAGCATTTTGCTGGGCATCTGCCTCCAAGCTGCAATGCGCGTCCATCGGTCTCTGCCAGGATGTGCTGCCCTGCACGGCAGCTGGGAGTCTCCTGCTTCCCCCAAAACGCTGCACATGGTGCGGGCAGGGACCCTGTTTTCTGGTCTTTCCACGCCTTAACACAATGCCAGGGTTATGATAACATCTCCGTAAGGAGGGAAATAATGATTAAAAAAATACTGCATTTGAATGGAGCTAATTTCATGTGCAGTGATTGTAGCTGGTTCTCACTCTTCATTTCTTTTGACACTAAACAATTTCAAATCTGGGCTAAATTCGAGCTGTTTCTTTCATCACAGGAGGAATTCCCTCTGTATTAATGAAGACAGCCAAGACCTTTAAGCACCTACAAAACAGGTCCCTGGCTCTGGTTAAGGGCAGTGGGAGGAACCACGGCCCACTTGTCTCAGTCGGGCTGGGAAGGGACTGCCCTGGAGCTACTCAGGGCACAGCCGATGCTCGGCTATGAACCTGAGGATGACCACGAGCAGCTCTTGTCTTCCCTGCACAGGTGTGTGATGGCTGTGACAACCGGAGAGACAACGGGGCAGGGAGAGCGGGTGCAGCCTGGTGGAATGGCTTCTGGGGAAGACTGGAAGGGATCCTGGGGCTGGCAGAGGAAATGCTTGGGGCACGTGTGCCCGAGAGAGGTGGGCAGGTGGCAACAGAAAGCCGAGGAAGCCAACTCGTGCTGGCATTTGGAGTGAGCCACAGCCGGCTTTGGGTACCATTTGCCACTGCTGGGACATGCTGCTGCTTCCGGGAAGGAGGTGGGAGTGGGATGCCAGCAGAGTGCCAGATGGGGGGCCCCCGGGTCCCTACCTATTCCATCCTTGCAACCCCATTACCATGCACATCCACCTTATTAAGGGGCCCATGTGGTGAGACGCCCCATGCTGAATTTGACATGTTCCATGGAGCTCGAGCGGTGGGGATGACACATCAGCGTGCATTGACCGTGAAGTGAATTATCTACAGAAACTTATGTAAGCACAACCTATAGAGCTACCTCCTACAGACCAAGATTCCAGAGCCCCCAGGCCATTTGCATGCCTTTGGACATTTCCAGTCTGTCACTGTCTGACTTAGATCCCAGTGACCAGGACAGACCCTGCCCTCCCCAATGTCACCTCTAATGACAGCACAGGGCAGGATGTGGTTTCCTTGTTTGGGTTACTGGATGCTGATTTATAGACAAGGTTGGCAGTCTCCACTGGTCAGGCTCAGCTCAATTTCAGTTAGTAGCTGGGGGCGTAAAGTGCTGATTACTGACGGGCAAGCTCAGAGTAATTTCTTCCAATGTGGGTTTTGTTTGCACCATTTGGAACTGGGCCTCTGTGGTGTGAGTGTGAATATATCTATTTCCAAGATGCAGACAGAGACTAAAATGTCAACAGGCAGTGGTTGAAAGTCAATAGCTTTTGGGCGCCTGGGTGGCTCAGTTGGTTAAGCGACTGCCTTCGGCTCAGGTCATGATCCTGGAGTCCCGGGATCGAGTCCCGCATTGGGCTCCCTGCTCAGCAGGGAGCCTGCTTCTCCCTCTGACCCTCTTCCCTCTCGTGCTCTCTATCTCTCATTCTCTCTCTCTCAAATAAATAAATAAAATCTTTAAAAAAAAAAAAGTCAATAGCTTTTGAAAGTTTGAAAGCCCACTACTGGTTAATGCAAGTATGCAGTTCACTAATTTTAGACCCTACTGAACCTCTCTCTGTTAATACCTCTCCTCACCTTCTCTCCTCTCTCCTTTCTGCTTACTTGTCTTCTTTCACTCCTTGTGATTTTGTGCCTTTCCTCTTTAACAGCTCCTTCTCTGGGTCTTTCTCATATATGCTTTTTCCCTGTGTATTTTTCTCATGTCTACTTTTACTGTCTACCTCTTCCTCCACATCTATTTTTCTTCCTGTTTTTTTATTCCTTTTTATAACCCCTCCTCATTTCAACAATGTGACATAAAAATATTTTGAAGGGTTATCTTGCTTTGATGAAATCAAACTTCTTTTCATTAAACATTTAAAAACCTAACATGTTTGTGTCCTCTCCTTGCCCTTTTAAGAAGTGGGAGATGAACATAGATTTTTTTTTTGAGGTTGTGATTAATGGCACATAGTAAAAAAAATACTCCTTGTCCCTGCTCTAGAAGATGAAGAAGATACCCCATCCCCATATGGTACTTGCATATCCATTGATTGCGTTTGGATCCCTATGGTGATAGGAGAAGAAGCACCATCTGATTCTGGTTAAACATAGAGATGTTCTAGTAACCAGATGGCTTTTGCTTGGCAGTTTAACAAGCGAAATGTTTACTGACTCTGGAAAACCATTCAGAGCATTGTGTCCTGGGCATTTATGGTTCTGTTTATGTCCCTTTTCCCCAGTGGCCATGGATTTGAAGTTCCCGTCAAACTTATTGTGTCGTAATTGTATGCTAATTCTTTGCTTAGCCTACTGATAGAATCTCCCTACATAATTATGTATTTATTTCCTTGTAGATTTCCTATGTAGCATCAACGTATAGTTGTTTATAACATGATTCATGAGTTTAGTTTTGATGAAACGTTTATTAGTGGTGACTGCATGATTAACTTTCATAGCAGGTGCCTACAAGAATTATGTATTTTTTTTTTTATAATACTGTTCTTTACCTTTGTAAGGATCAGTAAACTGGAATGTTGGGTCTGATTCCAAGATCTATTTTCACTCTCTAAATTTCCTTGTGCATTGAACATACCTATGTAATCTTTTTCATAAACACAAAGCAAATTAGAAGAATGGCTGCACCCTTTCATCTACCCAAGGGTTTGGAATTCAATTTTTGCAGAATTCTCTTAGGCCAATAGACTCATAGGTCAAGTCATTAAAATTATTAAAGAGCTAAACCTGAAACCAGAACCCAACAAATCAGTAGTCCAATGGGCGGGGGACTCTTATTTAAATGCATCTGGATCCCATAGAGATAGAAAAATTAAAACACCTTTATCAGAAATACTGACCATGTTAAAAATATTGACTCTTATAGTGCCCTTAATGTTTTACAATTCAGTTAGAAGAGTTAAAAAATTCACTGAACTAGATTATCAATTCCTAACATGGACCTCATTGTAAAAACTGTTAGCATCCCAGCTCACAGCAACACCATCCAGTTCAATTTGCTCCCTCACGTAAGACTCTATTCATTGGCAGTGATGTTGGGTTCCAGGCCATTGATCCTTCTAGCGTTCAGAGAATCTGTGGGTCTTTTGTTCTGATGACTTTGGACTTAGAGATTAGAACTAAATCTGCAAATGTGCTGTGGATTGTGAATAAGTTGGTGTTGTCCATGGTCACACTGCATAGTTTGACAACACAGGTTCGTCAGTTTTGTGATGGTACTGGTCACCTCACTATTTCCTTTTAGGTCTGAGAAGAGCGCATTCCATGACTTAAGATCCTTTCCCTTGCAGAGACTCAGTTTGGGGTTCTTCAAACCAAGTTGTAAATGCTTTGAAATGTTGCAGTCTGTAAGACTAGAGGTAGAAAGAAAGGTGGGGCAGAGATAGGGTGGGACTGATACAGAAATGATTGGAAGAAAGGCGTGTAAGTCCTGTGGAGTGGTTGTGCAGCCCCCTGGAATCACCATTTACATGTGAAATTAGCGCTCAAGATAAATGAAACTATGTAGGGGTTTTTGGTCGGGAATTAAAGAAATGCAATGTAAAGATCTTTGTAACATTAGTTTTTTTCTTGGAGGGGGCAGACCTTTGGGGGATGGGGATTCATTGAGTATGCTACAAAGGAATACTTCTAGTTTAATAGTCTCATGATTTGAGCAATAAGCCGAAGGAGAAAGCAGGGGCCCCGTTAATTGTGGGCAAGATTAATGGTTAACTATGCAAGTCAAATTTAATAAGGTGTTCATGGCCCAAATGATGATGGAGAAGTGTCTGCAAGCTTCCCTTGTAACTTTTGATATGAATTATATCACCAGGAAAATGTATATTTCCAAAGGGAAAAAAACCACATTGTCTGTTTATTTCATATCCACATGGTCTTTAATATTCAAACTTCAATGCATGAAACTACGTTTCTCATTTTGCAGGAGGATTTATTATAATTAATTCTTCTTTCCTCTTAAAAATGTGTTGTGTATCCTGTTTATTTAACTGAAGAGTTTAGAGCATTATACCGCTGAGCCATTCCAAACCTGAATCATTACCAGCTACTTCCACATCAAACACTCCATTTTTAAATTGTTGCATCTTAAAATTCTGAAATACACCTGAAAGTTTTAACAATGACAAGCCATTCTTTCTTCTCTTTAGATTATCCAGCCTAAGGAATATCTGCATATAAAACTTGAGCCGGTTTTGACTAAACCTCTTAAAAGTCAGATTGGAATTATTGTGGGTCCCAATCCTCAATACAGACCTACAAATAAAACCCCATACTGTGGGTATCAATTTCAGCACAGAGTTCAACCCCACACAAGACGAATTTCAAGTAATGCATATTGTAACAGCAACACAATATAATATATGTGAAATAGACCTTGGTGATCGCAAGAATGGATGAGAGATACAGATAACCACAAAGAAAGGGATTTTTTTTTTTTGCATGATTTTGTGGTTTTCCACTTAAAACCAAAATAAAGAATAAATTTCAAGTTACTCACTCATGGATTCTGTCAACCTGGCCATTGCTGCAGTTTCTTCTTTGTGCTTTTTCTGGAGATGAGAAGAAAAGACATTTATGTATAAGACACATCTGAGATGGGAATTGACACAGTGGGTCTGATAACAGCTCTATCTCTTTCCTTCTTTTTGTCTACATTAGAATTTGGTTACCAATGATGAACTGAATTTAAAAATCTCATATTATGGCTACACGATCAGTCAGCCACTGAAAAGAAATTTTTAGGGCATTAAAAAAAAAACTTGCCATTGCTCTTGGAAGGGAGTATCTGTCACATTGATCTTGGATATATATAATTGGTGACGCACGACCAATTTTCAAAACCTCTCTGACACTGGAATCTTGACATCCATATGCCAATCTTTGCTTTCTATTTTCTCCTGTTGAAGCTTCTTTGGTATTTTTGGAGCTGATATTTTTGTCGTCATTTGATTTCTTTTTTTTCCCTAAAAGTGAAGTAGATTTTATACATTTTCCTTTGTCTTACTTTTTTGAATTCCTGGTGTCTTTTGAAAGTTATCACATTTGATGAGTTTATAACCTTATCTATTTTGGGCTGAAAACATTTTGTTTCAACTGGGATATAGGTTATTACCCACTGAGTTTGAGAGCCAGAGTGATACATACATAAATTGGATCTGTCCTAATTAAAAAAATACTTTGGAGCTATTAAGAATAATAGTCATCTCTACTGAAAAGTTCTCTTTATTTTCTTCATATTTCCTTCATTTCTTTGGGTTCTTAACATGTACAGTAACTGAAACATTGGCCACTATTATTTTACTTTTTTGCAGCCTTATTCTTTTTCTGATTATGAAACTAATATATGCTCATCATTTAAAAACTCTAAAGATATTGAAAAATTATAAATCAGAAAATACAGTTCTCTCCAAAAAACCCCTGGAGGAAACCACTGTTACATTTTGGTGAACGCCTTTTTATTCCCATTTCTGTACCTGTGAATACATATGGATATGGAAATATAATTCCTTTTTCATAAATATAAATATCTATACTATATGTGCAATGTTGTCAGCTACTTTTTCACTTAACATCATGTCACACATCTTTCTATGTCAATAAATGTAGAATACACCATCATTTTTAGGTGATTGCATAGTATTCATCATGTGAATACACCATAATTTCTTCAGCCAGATTCCATTTAGGTCACTTACAGTTTTCCACTATTTTATAAAATGCTGTCATGAGCCTCCTTGAACTCATATCTTGGCGCACTTGTCTTGTTAAATACTGAGGCCAAATCTTAGGGTTAAGATTGATCAAAAAGTGTGAGTATTAAGAATTTTGACACATATGACTCAACTGTCACCCCCAAAAGGTTGGATCTGACAGTGTATAAAAATGTTAATTTCCTTACATTCTTGCCAACTTGCCAGTGGCATGAGAACTTTTCCCCCCTCAATCTTGGCCAAACTGATAGGCAAAAAATAGTTTCTTGTTATTTTATACTGTCATTATTCCTTCTCTGACCTTTTGTTTATGAACAACTGTAACATTGCGTCACATGTAAACAGTATGTCATTGACTCTTGGTTTCCTGTGGTCATGCTCCAGCTACTCTGCTGTCAATATTTTAGTTCTTAGGAGCCAAAGGTGGCATTTATTGTTTCCCATTGCCATGGTATAGTGCTGAGCAAGTCACAGCTGCTTGACTATCACTTGAGTTGATGTGTCACGGGCTTGGAATAAATGATTATTTATCCTTCTGGTGCCACTATTCCCAAACTAGGAGAGTTTGCTTTGAGGGTCAACAAACAACTTTGTACATCACAAGTACACTTGATTTTCACAAGCCCTGTATTCATAGCATTGGAATTAGTGTGCTGCCTCTTACTTAAACTGATAATTGCCCTTGAGAACAGAAAGACCTAAGGAACCATGATCTACCATCCTACCCACAGTGGCATCCAACCCATCATAGTTAGCCTGCCATATGGTTTCTATTGAGATTTAGAAATAGCATGGCTATGGAGAGGCTAAGAGTGCCGTGTAGCAGAGACAAGTAAAACAGGCAAAGAGAAACTTGTCACAGCAACACAGGTTCACAGGAATGGGCATAAAGGCTGCTTCAAAACGGGCTTACTCTAGTGGTTGCTGACAATTCATGCAGAGAAGCAACTCCATGGTGAGAACTCAGTGACATTCATCCTTGACCTGTAGGAACCTCGTTCTGTCTCTGCTTGCTCTGTGTTGACTCTTCACTTCACCCCTTAGCCTAACTCTGCTGCTGGTTCGGCCCCTCTGGTTACATGGCCTCTCCTTGTATCCTGGTGGATGACCTGCTTCTCCTTCATTTTCTGGCTCCGTGCTTGTAGGTCCTCACTCTGGATCACTGATTGCTTCAGATTGGTCCTCCTATGATGGCCCCAGTGGTGAAAATCCCCACAGCACAGGCAACCAGATTCCAGACGTTATATCCTTATGAGGCCTTGTCAGTTTTGTCCATCTTCCTATGTGTGTCACCATTTTACTCTTGTGATCCAAGGACCCTGCCACCTTTTGTACCCCGGTCTTGCTGGTGGGTGGACCTTGCGACTATTTGTATTCAGATGTGTTAGATATCCTAGTCCTGGAGAAATCAAATAGTGCCTGTATCAGCATTTTTCTCCTCCCTGTAGTTAGATTGAAACTTCTGACACCAATGGAGGAGGGGCTCTTAAAAACCTTAAATTTAGCTCTCTCAGTTTGACTCATCTATATCATAACTTATGGTGAAAATCATGGCATCTGTTTTTGTGTAAGTGGTTCAGTCATTCTTTGGGATGTCTTTAAACTCCTTCTGTCCTTCCCCCATTATCAGAGTTGAGGGTTGCAACCACGTCGCATGTATAGCCGATAAAGCATTAACATTCCACTCTTGGTCTTGGACAAATCCTCTTCCTTTTCTAAAGCAAAGATTTTTCCTCCAAAGTAAATTTGATGTTTACCAGATTTACAATACTGGAGAGAGGTTTAGAATTACAGCATATTAAACATGGAAGAGATTCTTTTAGAGAGTGTCAGGTCCGACCCTACGGTGATACGGTCCAGGAAGTTGGAACTCCTGCCCAGAGAGGAATTTCCACCATGCTGGGCTCTTCCCCTTGTCAACAACCTCCACTCCCCTGGAAATCTTCAAGGCCACCACCCACGGGTATATTGAGACAAGATTCCTCACATAGCAATCCTAGTGTCATGTCAGAGTTTCCCAGATTTGCCTTCTTTGTATTCCACAACAATATCCCTGATTCCACAAATGGCTGATGACTTCCTAACTTATATACCCAGCTCTGACCTCTCCATTGAACTTCTGCTGTGTACTGGATGGTCCCACCCAGATGTTCAATGGATGCTCCAAACTAACATGCTCAGAGCTACTCTGTCCCTCACAGACTTCCACCAGCCCTTATACCGGGCTTTTTTTTCCATTCTCTGTCTTCAGTTTATAGGCTCACCACCCACATTGTGCCTAAGCCAGAAGTCTGAGAACACGTCTCCCTCTCTTTCTTCCTCACTCCCAATATTTCACATATCTTAAATCTTACTCCCCTTAGCTGCTGTCTCTGAAAGGGGCTATTAATGTTTCTTCCACCTGCCTCTGTACCTGCCACCTATCACACCTAGAACACTGAGGGTTTATCCTGAAACAGCTCTGGGTATCTATCTAAAATGCAAACTTGACCCAGGCACCCCCAGGTTGAAATCTTTCAGTCCTTGTCTATCAAGTAAGTATACAATCCTTGTCTTTTAGCCAGGGCCACATGTCTGGATGGTTCTGTCTTCCACACTCACAGTCTAGTTACAGCTACCTTCCTTCCATGGCAATCACTGTTCCCTGTGCCTGGACACTCCAATTTCCTTTTCCTCCTTGTGCTCCTAAATTTATCCTTAAGAACTTCACTGGACATAAAGCAACCTTCGCAATTTTCCCCTACTCTTCTATGTTTCCTGAGTTTTATTTCTACACATCTTCATGCTCAAATGCATCCTTGTATCACATTGCATCACTTGTTATGGGGGTAAGGGATTCCAGGGCCTTTGGGAAAGTCAAGTCCTGCCTCCCAGTAGCCTCATCTGGAGGCTCCCAACAGTGCCACCATTACAGCTGGGAGGCACTGCATAGTAGGCCAGAAGTCTCTGCTCCTGAAAAGTCCTGTGGTCCTGAGCAAGTAATTTTACTTTTTAGGCTAGTTTCCTGGATTTTCTCTTTCTGACCTGGTTTGCTGTATGCTAAGGTGTTCTCAAGACTAGTCAGTCATGTGAAGAAGATGTCTGTAAATACTTATGAGTATTGGTGATATTTTAAGATGAAAAAAATCCCAGTTGTGTTCACTTCAAGAATTTTCCTTAAGAAATATCTTTCCTCTAGTAGGCAAGAGTTTTTATAGTTGGGATAATCAACAGGTTTACCCCTTGTAAAATTAAAAGAAAACCAGAAATTTAGGAATCTTACTATTCTGAAGCAAAGAGCTTACTGTGGCCTGAAAATTTATTGTTCTTGTTTACTTTGTCTGTCCTGTTTATTGTGTCTGAGACAGTGCAAGTGAGTGGGAAGTATAGAGGATGTGGAGTCTAGGAAAGAGCCTAGGTCTAGAAAGGTGTTTGACTTGGTTTTGTCATTTCTCAGCCAGTTACTGTGACCCTCTGGGAGCTGCAGTTTGCTCATCTATAAGGTGGGATATGTAGTGTCTATCTGTGTTTCCTCATTCACAGGCCTGTTGTGAGTAACAAATGAGAAAATGTGTGTTAATCCACTCAAGGGTTATATGCCTGTGCGTGAGTGTCTGTGTGTGGACTGAAGGTTATAGCCTGTTCTTGCTATTAACATGAATAGTGACCTTTGTCATGTGTGCCAAAAATAACAGAGCAATTTTCCCTGAAGCTAAGAAGTCACAAGGCTGCCTGCCTCCCAGGGACTGCTCATCATGTCAACGGCTTGTGGCCACACACCTCACATCTCTATTTCCAGAACTTTCCACCAGAATACAAGGTTCCTCTTAGAAGAGCTGAAATCTCTTGCTCTAGGAGCC